AAAGTCCCCTTCCTCCCCTACCCCCCCGCAGTAAAGTGCTTCGGCCCCCACCTATCCTTGGCCTTCTGTCTCTGTATGAGGGGTGGGGGTATGGATGGAAAAGAAGTGGGGAGACCCAGTCTGCTCCCCGTCCCATAAACAAGATGTGCAATGAAGAAGGGACTTTAATGAACAAAAACAGAGGGATCCAAAGTGCAAACTGTCTACCCCCCCATAGGGGAGCCATCGTGAACCCCATGTGCATCCCCTCACCCCCCTTCAGGACCCCAGCGGAGGCCCAAGGCTTGCAGCTTCTGTCTCAGGTAGCTCTTGAGCTGGTGCAGGCCTCTCTGTGACTCCAGTTCCTCAAAGGGTAGCTGTGGGGAGAGGCAGCAGGTTACGCACAGGCCCTGTGGGTGAGGGAGTGGGCGCACACAGTGTCACCAGGGGCGGGGCAGGGGAGGCTCACCGGCAGAAGCTGGTAGCCCAGCAGGCCCAGGTGCCGTTCCCGCAGGGCCCGGGAGCCCAGCAGCACCCTGCTGTCCCGGCAGAAATGCCAGCGTTCCTGCAGCATCAGCACCACCCTGGAGAGAGAGCGGCTATGGCTCAGGGTCGCTGTCCATGAAGGCAGGGGAGGCCCTCCTGCCCTCTTCCCTTACCTCTGGGCAGGGTCTTGGGTAGTGGGCTGAGAGGCAGCCTGGCCCTGGGGACAGGACCGGGGAGGGTAAGGTAAGAAAGGGTCCTGGGTCCTCACAGGAAGCACAGCACCAGAGCTGCTGACACACAGCAGGAAGTCTGAAAGGTGGGAGAAGAGAAAGGGCCAGTGGCTTTTAGCCACAGCTCCATGTCAGCCTGCTGCCTGCCCACATACCTGGAGCTCACCTGTGCAATAACCTGGAGGCACGGTCAGGTCTTGGCGGTATTTCTCCTCCCCCAGCAACTGGCGCAGCCCCTCCGCCACTATATCCTTGTGACTGAGGGGAGTGGAACACTGATAGCAGGAAGGCCCAGGAGTCTCTGGTCGCGCCACCCCCCCACCACCAGCTCTTCAACCCTAGGCAAATGCCTTTGTTGCTTCAAGGCCCATTTATTTATGACTGCTAAGAGTACCAGCCGAAACAGGTCCCAATTCTCTGGCCTTTCTACTCTGCTTCTGGCTGGTCCCTTCCCCTCCCCAAGCTGCCCCATCCACCTGTACTTGCAGCGAGCGCGGTCAGTGATGAGTGGCTGGGGGAAGATGGGCACTTTCTGCCTTCGGGGAAGGCGGGGACCCTGGTATCCTGGGAGTTCCAGCTCCACAGCCGTGTCCAGTAGGGAGAGGTAGCGCCGCACGATTGGGGCATGAGGGGTGCCTACAGGCAAGGGGACTGAGGTTTGCTGGGCTGCAGACTCCCACCCCCTCTACCCTGCCCACCAGCCCTCTGGGCCCCAGCCAGCCTTCCTGTCTGCGCACCACTGATGTGGCTGATGAAACTTGGGGAAAAGACAAACTGCAGGGCTCGGGAGGGCAGGCACCGAAGCTGGCACAGTGACATCAAGATGTTGACAGTGGCCAGGGGGGCCGCCCCTGCTTCTCGAGCCAGGATCCTTTCAAGGCAGGGCATAAACTGCTGTTCCAGGGGAAAGTAGTTCAGCCGCCCAAAGGGCAGGACCAGCTTCTGCACCACCTGTAGAGGGAGAGCAGCCATCACCCCGCAAGGAACATTCTCCAAAACCCTTCCCTGAGGTGAGCCTCAGGGAGGCTTGATCTGCATGTTTAGACCGTCACTGCAAAGGCAGAACCATTCCTCTACCGGACACACACCAGAAGTTTGTGGCATAAGCAGTGTCTTGAGCCCCATGCAGTCAATCACCAAACAAGTGGAGGAGACACTGCTATGGGGCCTGGCCCTGCAGGCCTAGAGAAGTGGGATCAATGAAGTGAGATGGTGCTGAGTGCTTGCAGGACTGCACGTGCTGGGGGGTGAAGCCAAGGAGGATGTGAGCAAAGATGGAAACCTGGGGATAGGGCCTGGCTGGGTTGTTTGCTGTGGGACACGGCAGCCAATCAAGCTGGACAGGGGCTGAGCCTGGCGGTGTCTGGGAAGCACGGGAGGCAAGCCCACCTTGCTGCTGAGCTGGGCTTCCTGGACCACCAGGAAATGGGCAATGGCTTCCAGCAGCTGGGGCTCCCGCAACCGGTGTCGGGCCAGGTGCTGGGCCAGGCGCACCATCACGTGGGGAGTCAGTTCCTCTGGCCTGGCCTCTGTGAAGGACAGCCTATCACACTGGACCCTCAGGCCAGACCTCCAGACTAGTGTCCACCTTAGCCCAGACCCCACCACCTGCCTCTTCCTCGGCCCCTGACCCCCAACCTGCCTTTAAACCCCTCCAGCACCTGCCAAGCTTCGGATGAGGTGCTGCTGTGGATGCCGCAGAAAGTGGGGGCAGCTCAGAGCAGCTTCCAACCTTTGCCCACCACGAAGGACAGGTTGCAGAGGGGGAGGAGGCTTCGGGGGGAGGCGGAACCTTCGCTCCCGCTCCAGGGCACACACCAGGGGCGCGTCTGACAGGAAGCCTGAGAGGGAGAGGGTCAGAGGAGGTGGTCCTGGGAGCGGAGCTGCTTCGCTCCAGTCCTGGGGTTGTTAGTGGATCCCAACCTCTCTCATCTCCGTTTCCTGGGCTGGAAGGTGTGCTACAGTGTCAGTGGAAACACTGGGGAAATGTGAAATACCATGTGAACTAAGGGATCAGAACAGCTTATGGGGAAGGCTTTATACAAAGATGGCGAATACGTTCTCATCTCGTTCTATTGGTAACAGAGTGTGGTGGCTCCTAGAGCACGGGGGTAGCAGGAATCTGAGGCAGCAGCAAACGCTGCTCGACTCCTGCCACCTGTGTCGTCCAAGAAACGTATCATGTCAGTGATCTGGGTCCTCTCCTGCTCTTCTCTATTCTTTCATTAACACCCACCCCCAGGCAGCCTCCTCACCAAGTAAGACTGCAAGGTGCAGACACACGTGGATGGTGTGAATATCAAAGGAGGGGCAGTTTCGGATGATGAGCTGACTCAAGTCCTGCAGGGAGGTCTGCTCCACGGGCGGGGGCTGTGGCTGAGACCCCAAGAGCTGGCCCAGACGACGAAGCGCCACTGGGTAGTGGTGGGCGCGCACCTTGGTGGGGTTCTGGCCCAGCCAGCGCACCAGCTCCCCGGGGCTCCTCGCCTGCTCCAGGAGCCGCTGCAGCCCCTGCGCGGGACCTGCGCGAGGGCCTCCTCCGGGAGGCCGGTCCCCCCACTTGCTGGGCCCCAGGCAGAAGGGCTGTATTGGCGGGAGCAGCAGCAGGCCAGACAGCTGAGCAGCAGAGGCCTGGGCAGCAAGCAGGACTCGAAGCATGGAGTTGGGTGACGGAGACCCTGAGGGCGGCCCAGAAAAGGGGGTGAGGTTTACCCGAAGGGGAGAAAAGCCTGCTGTCTACTCGTCACCTCACTCCCCATTCAGAGGGGTCTAGGGTCAGAGCAAGGCAGACTCCTGCTCACCCTTCTCTGCGACTGCCCTGGTCCTCTTCCCCGCCCGCCCCTCCGCCTCCTTCCATCCGTGGAACAGCCATCCTAATCCTTGAGTGCCCGGCGCAGGGCCGTTTACAGAGCAATCCACATGCATTATCTTCTCGGTCCTCCGCAAACGCCCCCGGGGCGCAGGCAAGGCTGGCGTCACCTCGATCGCACAGGCGGAGAACCCAGACCCAGAGAGGTGAGGGGTTAAGGCCAGCCCGGGGTCACGAATCCGGTTAGTGGTTGCGCCCAGCCTGGAGCCCAGCCGGCCCCGGCGACCGGCC